TGGAGGAGTAATGATTTGTGCTTGCTTGTACAGCAGCCACAATACCTGGGCAGTCACTGAGTCAACCATGCACACCTAAATAATCTAGAGTCAAACGTGAGGCCATCCATCATCCGTATCACAACAGCAAATCTAAAACAGAATGGCTGAAAAAGAGTCAAGATGGCCCACTCAAACGCTTGACTTCAACCTACTGAAATGCTGTGGTCTGATCTTCAGACAACTGTGCATAAACTAACAAACCTCAACAGTGAGAAACATCGCAGAAGAGTGGACCCAAAATTCTCCCACATGTGTATGTGAGAGACTGATAAAGTCATACAGAAAATAATTGCGCAAGTTATTTCTGCTGAAGGTGGTTCCACAAGCTACTGAATCATGGGCTGTACTTTTTTTCACAGGAATCCATAAAGTACTATTCAATTCAATTTTATTTTATTTATGTAGCACTAAATCACAACAACAGTTGCCTCGAGGCCTTTATTGTGTAAGGTAAAGACCCTGCAATAATACAAAGAAACCTCCAAAATCAAACGACCCCCCTTATGAGCAAGAACATGGTGACAGTGGGAAGGAAAAACACCAGTTTTGTATTTAAAAAAAACTTCAGACAGAACTACTATTACTACTACTGCTATGAAAGCTTTCTTTTTCTGAACTAAGACATAAGACTAATGCTGTAGATTGGACAATACCTGTCTGTATTTGTACTTTATGCTATGCCTAATAGACAATGATTCTTATGAAAATTTGTTGCTGTAGTGTGTTCTGTTTTTTTTTCTTGAATGTTTCATATTCGCACATAGGTTTTACAACAGGCTTAAGTACTTTAAAAACTGACATCTCACTTTTGTGACTGACTAAACTAAGCCACATTTTACAAAAAGTGTTCAAGGTAACATTTTCTGTTCCTCTGCAGACAAGCTTCCCCTTTGAAAGACTTTACTTCCCCTGAGCAATGTTATATTTGAAATGTTTGTCCTGTCTGGAGTTTCAATGCTAAGAGTAAATACAACTAAATCTGAAAGAGTGGTGCAACTTTCAGTTGATCGTGTGCAGTTAGTAAAGGGGTGTGAACTGTGTGCATTTATTGTTATTGTTCCTGATTTCTTTCCTATCTAGTACAGTAACATGCAATCCAAAACAGGCAGTGCATTGCATAACATGCAGAGTGCAGAGGTCTTAAGAAATGATGGATGTTATGCGGTGTAAAGTTTGCGACATTGACGTTAGCATTAAAAAGCAAGTGAAACCAACTAGCAACGCAGCTGATTAAGAACAAAGGTGGTAGTAAAGTAATAAAGGGGCGCCGTGTCAGCTGTCAGCTTCCTAATGCACAGCTCCTTACCACATTTGTGTCCGTTTCTATGGTGTGCTCCACAACACATGTGGGGTCAGCCAGGGAGCCTCGTTCCCAGCTGCAGTCCAGTTGAATCAGGGCACGGCATCGGTAGTGACATGTGAATTTACAATCTGTAAATGAAGAAAGTCATAGAGTTTAGACTCATGTTGCCATACATGAGAATGTGCAAAATGAAAGTCATAATGTTGTGTAAGTGTGATTGCCTCTCCTCTGCTGGAGGGTAAAGGTTACTACAGTTTTACCTGCAGTTATTCACTGTTTTTAGTAAAACAACAATGTTGTTTTGATTCCCTGCCTCCTCTGGTCTGCATGTTGGAATATCCTTAGGTAAGATACTGAACCCTAAATTGCCCGGCTGCATTCACTGGAGTGTGAATCTTAGATTAAAAGTGCTTATGCATACAAACGAGTGTATGGGTGAATGCAGCAGTGCTTCAATAGTGTAGAAAAGCATTATGTAAGTACCAGACCATATAGTCACGTATATAAAATAAATTGCAAATACTTGAAGAAATATAAATAGCAATTCCAATCAGCTGAATGCAGCTGTGAAAACATATAGTCAGCTGGAAAGCTTATGTCTCTTTGCAAAGACTGTGACAATGTTTCCTGTTCAGGTTACAAGTAAGGGACCCCTATTTCCCCACACTAAATGCTTTGTACAAACCACTGCTCTTTATTTAGGTGGGTTTCCGTTAATGAAACTTTTGAAAATGCACATATGAGTGTAGCTGAACCTCAGCCTAGACAATAACCAAACCCTTAAGTGTATGCAGGTTAGATACTGGGTAGATGTGAATAATTATAAAAATTGTACAGGCAACAATTCTCTTTATTTTTTCCAGAATGTTAACATAGAGAGCATTTATGTTTATTTAGTATGAAGCCTTGTTTAAGCCATCAGGCTGGAATGACTGTAATCTGTGCTTGCAGGTACGCTGGTGGTTGCCTCTTCCTCTGTGTTAGTAAATTTCCTCTTTCTGTCAGTACGCTCATTTCATGCAAATGCACCAAAGCATTGACACATGCACACACCCAGATGCACAAAAAGCATATGTAAGCCAACTCACTGACACACCGCAGGCTCTGCTTGTAAAGGCCCCAGATAAAGTCTCCACACAGGTCGCACCACGTGGGCTGAGCGTGGCTACAGGGTTGGAAGTCGTGGCCCTCTCCTTTCTCCTCTGTGAGCTGTGGGTCCTGGCTGCTGCTCAGGACTCTGATAATGCCCACACGACTCAGTAGGTCTGGGACCCTTCCCGGGCTGATCCTCAGGGCGTTGGTTCTCTCTAGGCGCGGAGGTGAGCACGGAGCGCGCGTCCCCGTCAGCTCTATCTGCTCTTTGGTCGACCTGAGGTCACGGAGCTCGATGAACTCCTCCCAAGACATTGTGTCACTCAGGGCCGGGTTTCCTCCATTTTTATCACTAACTGACAAAAAACACAGACTCTGTATAATCAGAGTGCAACCTGAAATCATGAAGTTAGTGTTAATTCAGCTTAATGTACTAAGGTACCAAATATGAATGTACTTAGTAGTACTCTTAGTAGGACAGTTAGGTTAAACACATAAAGAGCATAATAATGTTATATATTGTCAAGGTGCATTCTGACTGTTTGGCACCATTACACCATTAATAGTGCATTATAACTTAAAAACGGACAGTTTTTTATGCAAATCTCAAGTCTGCAAATTCAGAAGAATAAAAGTTTACAAGCAGTGAAATATAAACATAAAGCAGCATAAATAAAAGAGTATACAGTGGGAGAAACAATTAATTGACTGATTATTTGATTGATTAACTGATGAATTTGTAAGTTTGCTCGCTTGAAAAGAAATGAACAGTATCTAATTTTTATGGTAGTTTCATGTTGAAGGAGAGAGACAGAATACCAATCACAAATCCAGAAAAACCCCACATTGTATCAAGTCATGAAACTCATTGAGTAAGGTAAATATGTAATCTTCTACAACACACTCTGCCTTCCATGGATTGGCTGTGTGTCCACGTGACAATTAATCGCTCAACCAATCAGTTAAACATACTCTTAATGTCATTACATGTATAAAGTTCACTTGTCTCCAGATAATCAGTTTCTTCTTTTATTCGAAACTCACTATCACCATAGGCAAGACCAAAGAGCTGTCCAAGGCTCTTTGGTCTGGAAAGGGCTAAAAGAAAATCAGCAACAAGCAAGAAGCTTGACAAGAAGGTGACAACTTTCGGTCTGGATCGCCATGCAAGATCTTACCTCATGTGAGGATGATCATGAGAAAGGTGCTCGATCAGCCCAAAACTACATGGGAGGAGCTTGTTAATAATCTGATGGCAGTAGGGACCAAAGTTGCTGAGAACACCATCAGCAACACTCTACACTGTAATGGACTGAAATCTTGCAGCACCCACAAAGTCCCCCTGCTTAAGAAGGCACATGTACATTTGAAGTTTGCCCAAGAACACCCAAGTGATTCAGAGAAGGTTTGGGAGAAAGTGCTGCGGTCAGATGAAACCTTAATGGAGCTCTTTGACATCAAGTCGACCTGCTGTGTCTGGAGGAAGAGAAAGCATGGAGGTGGAAACATTATGCTTTGGGGACGATTTCAGGACGATTTCACTGCACTGAGGGGGCAAACAGCAGCCAGGAAACCTAAAGGATTTGGAGAGTTTCTGTAAAGAGGAGTGGGCCAAAATCCCTCCTGAGATATGTGTGTGTGGGAAGAAAACCTGGTGACCAAGTACAAGAAACGTCTTACACACTTACTGTGTTTGCCAACAAGGGTTTCTTCAACAAGTACTAAATGATGTGTTATTTGGGGATCAAATACTTATTTCACTGAATAACATGCAAATCACTTTTTTGGGGTTTATTTTGGGGGGATTTTTGGTTGACCTTCAGTCTTTCTCCATTAAAATGAAGCTACGGTGAAAAGACTTGACTAGACTAGACTTTTCATTTCTTCGTAAGGGAGCAAACTTACAAATTCAGCAGGGGATCAATTAATTATTTCTCCTACTGTATGTGGCATTGTTCTTTCCTACTACCTTTCAGTGTGGAAAAACATATCTGTAACTGTAATCAAACTACTTTTTATTAGCTCTGTCACTTTGTAGTTGTTTCGGTACTGTGGTCTGTTGACGGTCAGCCACATCTCCTGACGCATTCAGGGAGGATGCGCGTCCACAAAATAATTCACACTCACGTAACTTCCAATCATTTTTCAAGTGGTTTAATTTGGTGTTTATTTTGAAATCCTGGGGGACCACCCTCTTTTCTTGTTTGTTTAAAAAGAAAATCATGGAAACGCCCCTGAGTACAAATACCTTAAAACTTTAATAAAATACAACGAAGATTTGTAGACTTGCACTAAGTAGTACTATTGCTTTCTACTTTAGTAATTTCCCCCCTCAAACCACTGTCATGTAGAATTAAGCCTAACAATAATACAAAAAGCTAAAGAATGACATGTGCCGTCAAATGTAGTTTAGTTTAGTAGTAGAAATACATCAGCTTCGTGTCCATGAAAAAAAAAACACGCGGGGAGATCATTCAAAACCTAATTCCCAACACAGCTGCATATTAAACTAGTCACTCATAAACAGCGAAGTGAAACAAAATCCAGTGATTTTAAGTCTAACTCACCAAAACACGGGAGAAAACAGCCCCGTGGCTACCGCTTTGTCTCAAAAGTTCTTCCATCCGAGGTCGAAAAGAAAAAAAAAACTTTCCGCTGAAATGTCTTAAGGTTTCCAAATAACGGAGGTGTGCAGTCTCGGCTACATCTCTGGAAATAATCTCTCATCACCAGCCGCTTACAGCGAACGAAACCCCGGGCCCTCCTTTTCACGGCAGAGCCGGAGCACGTCTTTCAAGATGTTACCCATCTGTTCAAGTCGGACTGCGGCGCAGGAGGAAGCGGCCCATCATGAAAAAGAGAGAGTGAGATGAGACTGAGCTGCACCGACATCCGGAATGTTTTCAAACAGGGGGTGCTTCTGAGTCCCGAGCACAGCTGAGTGGGCGTGCAAAGTCCCCCTCCCCACTCCTAAAGCCACTGTCTAAACGCATCACAGACCTGAGCTTCAAACTGGGTGGCTCTACCTAAAAGCAATAGGAAAATGGGTTATTGTGGTATTTTGCTTCGTACCTTCTCTGCATTGCATACAAAGGTCAAAACGGTGCTGTTGGTGAAAGAGAAGATGCAGCGCTTCCCTGGCACTTTGATGAAACAGGCAAACACAGATGCATGCAGGTTTAAAACTTTATTGCAGTTTGATTACAACGTCCTAAATTCTTGAATGTTGCATCAACAGTTTTAATGATAAAAGAAAAAAGAGTCTGTGTATAAATGTGTCGGGCTACACACTGTTCTCTTTCTGTCATCAGCCACAGAAAGAGCCGTTTGGTCTCCCTCAGCTGATGATCTTCTCGGTGGTCTCGGTCATGAGCTGGCAGGCTTTCTTGTGTTTTGGCCAGTGCTTCACTTGACACTCTCTGAAAACATACATCAGCAAGATAATAATTCAGACATTTAGCACATTCTAAACAAAAATATGCATTTTGCATCCAATACTGAAGAAACACACCTCTGTGTACTCCATTTGTTTCTCAAATGTGTTTAAATTTGTTTCTCAGTGCCCCGGTGAGGCTTACGTCAACTTTATCAAAACCTTAGGAGCGATGAGTGAGAGGGGGAAAGTACTGAGCCGCTCTCACACGTGACCTTTTGATATTTTGAAAAGAGAAGCAGCACATTTGTTTTGTCTTACTTGTGGTAATCTGCAGGAATTATTCCCCTTCAGACACCTTTGCAGTACTGGAAGTACTTTGTGTGGTTTACGTGAGCATGCAGGAGGCAGCACACATGACACGCATTCGCTACCAGTGGTAAATGGACTGTTTTTTATATGGTGCTTTTCTACTCTACCTGACAACTCAAAGTATTTTTATACAACTTGCCACATTCACCCATTCACACAAACACTCCTTTTAGCTTTTCGAGGCTGGCTTCAAAAACAAAAAGTAAACGAAAAAAACGCAAAAAGTAAATTAGGACTCCACCCTCTAATCTATATAAGGTAACTGGCTTCTAACCTGGCTTCAAAAAATGAAAACGGTGGTGACCAAAAACTAAAACTAAAGCTGCAAAGTCCAAAACCAATGAGCTCATGGTGGTTAAGGCCATCTTTAATACTGTTAGTGACTCTCACATGTGCACTTCTGCAAGGAATCTTTGTAGCCTACAACGTAACCTATGGAAGTGGCCAACTTCATTGCTAGCATTTATGATTATTGTGTGTGGTGCATTATGTGTAATAACCATGTGTGTCGTGTCCTGGTGTTTTGCATGTAGTGCTGACAGAGTCCTAGGAAGGTGCAGGACTTTCATGCATGTGTTAAAACAGCCCTGAGCTTTGCCTTCAGGCTCAGCTCAGAGTCTGTCAGTACCTGTGACAGTACCACTCTCCTCGGCAGCGAGAACATCTCTTTGTGGCCTCTCTCCCACAGGATCCACATTTTGGTTTCTCAGGAAGTAAACTCTCCATTACATCCAAGTTGTACGTCTGGGCCAGCCTAGTTAAAACAAGCGCTGATTATTCAGAGCGCCTGAGTCGTTTCTCTGTTCCTTCTCTAATCAGTCAGACCTGTGTTTTCAGTGTTACCTCTGGGCCTGTTGTCTCAAGTCACTTTCAGATGGGCTGAATGTTTCTTTGACTTGATACTTTGCTATTGCCTTCCACTTTCTAGAATTCTCACTGATAATGCGGTTCCACATTTCTGGGATCTATAAATAGAGTAGAGCCGAGTGTAAACGAACAGGCACATTGTTTAGGTACAGGGATAAGTGAACATTTGTGAGTGTGACTGCACCTGCTCCAAAATCAGCTCTTTTTTTGGAGGGGCTGGATCTGAAACAGCAAGATGAGCCAGGAAACGCTGCAGATCCACCAGATTTGGCAGCTGATCAATGAAGACATCAGTCAAGAAACCTCTGAGCTGTGGCACATGAATAACAACAAATACAGTGAAGCAAGAATAACAATGTATGAATCATCAGTTTACACAGACTGCATAAGAATAAAATGTGATTACAGGAGGATGCACATGGCTAGCTGGTTATGTAATTAATGGAGCAGGAAGAGGATGAGAAAGCTCATAATAGGAGGAAACATCTTGGTCAAAACAACCCTTGGAAACTGAATGTGTGCTCTAACAAGGGAGGAGATGAGATATGATGCTGGAGGACAATAACCCGGCACTCACACACTTGCCAAACACCAGATTACAGCTACTATCCAGCAGCCATTTGGACGGACGAGTTGATCCAATTTAATATCAGCACAGACAATGAATGACAACAACTCCGCATGATCAGTGCATCTAAAGTTATAATAAAACAATCATCCACTGTATACCTTCAGAAGCTGGCTCTTGTTGAAACTGTTGAAGTTGTATTTTCTCTGGAATTCTTCTTTTAGCAGCAGATTGTAAAGGGAAAGCCAGACCTGACCGTCCAGTTTGTTCATTTTTAAATGATCCTCTACAGGTATCGTCTGCCACTTGCCATCAATGTGTTTTTGCACGTTACCTACAGTGGGAGACAATGAGTAGGTTATTGAATAGTAAGAAACTTTAGCAGGTGTGAAAGGTAAGCTTCCTGGCTTGGGTAGCTTTTAGAAGCCTTTAAAGTTTTTTTTTTTACCAGTGATATAGATTAGTAGATCAACACCAATCTCATGTTTGAGGTGATACCTTCTCTGCAGCGACTCCAGGGGCAGTGGTCAATCAGCTGAACCAGTACACAAGGAAGGTTATGGGTGCACAGCATTCGACTGATAATGCTGATGCTGCAAAGAAACACATTCCTTTGGTCAGCTGCAGCGTGTTTCTCAGTGTAATACTGAGTATACTTCCACTAGAACATAACCAAGTGAATTCCAGGGCGCCATACCTGTCTGCGTGGTCTGTAATGTAGCGCAGCACTGACACGGCTTTCAGAGAGATTTCAAACTCCAAAGCTGCACTCTGCACCTGCAGCTCCTTCAAGAAACAAAACAAAGCGTTCAAAAGTTTGCGACAGACTTCGGCGAATGTGTCAAACCAAAAACAAAACATACATTCTCACCTCTAGAGAGGATGTCTGTTTGTGTTGGTCATATGTCACAGCAACATCCTTAATCGCTTCACTCGCCAGCAGGGTGAGTTTTCGATGGCAGTAATCCACCAAGTCAAGAAGAGAGTCATCTGCTGCATCACATGAATCCTGCATAACAAGACACAACCGCTTGAACACTTGCCATAATGCTTAATTTACAATTTATTAGGGATGGGTATCGTTTAGGTTTTATCCGATACCGGTGCCAAATCGGTACTTTTGAAACGGTGCTCAAACCGGTGCTTAAAGAATGGAGAACACAAACTTTGTCCAAAAACCTCTCATGTTCAGCTGGTTTTTTGTAAAAAGATAACGATGTTAGCCTTTTCTGCAGCTATGGGGCATATATGGTATCACTCTTGGCTGGAAGCAGTGCTTAATCAATGGAAAAAACACAAACTTTGTCCAAAACCTCTCATGTTTAGCTGTTTTCCACTTTTTCTTTGGTCATTTTAGCCTTTTTGGCCAGGGTGAAGGGAGTATCTGCCATCAAACAAGAAGACAGCCGCATGTAACTATGATGATGTTTGCTAGTTCACCTTACATGCATTAATGTAATAACGTGGTTAGCCTACTCAACGTAAATTACACACGAACAACATTAAGCTACTCGCCCAGAGAAGAACGGCTGCTGCTGCATCATCATCCTCATCATTTCTGCTACACTGGCAGGGCTACGGGCCAGGACTCTCCTCTTCGTGACCCGCTAACTCCGGGTCCGATAACAGGCAACCCATGCACAGTAGATGCGCTTGGTGTGAGGTCTCGCAGCAAGCTATCATATGGCGCATTTCTGGGCTTTAAAAAAAAAACGCTATGCATCGCCAGGTGTTTCATCAGATTTGAGGTGTTACCTCCTTTGACAGTATCACAGTATCAGCTTAAAGCACTTGTTTCAGGCTGCTGAGTTTGCATATTTTGCTGTGAAGTACAGCCAGACTTTTGACAGCTTCGCCTTGGACATTTTTAATCTGTAGCTCTGCTCTAAAAGAACGTACGTACCTGGACCCGCCTACTATCCTTGGAAACGTAAAATGATTGGCTAGAAGTGTATCACAGCTCAGGGGAAAAAAAGCACCGAAATAAAGCACCGAAATGTGCGCTGCTTTTCGGTCTGGTTACTACCGTTTATGTCAGAACCGGTGCCATCATGGCACCGGACACCGGTACCCATCCCTACAATTTATGTTCTCAGAGAATGACAGTCCGTGCTTTCTTGGTGTGTGAAATGTTTTAAGATATGTAGGGATTATTTGAGTTCTTACTGACCTTGTGAAACATTATGGTTTCAAGTAGATTTATGATGGTGGCTTCATGATGGATCTAAAAAGGAGTCATAACAGAACACATGAAACATGAGCAATGTGAGCTGCTCATTTAACATCTCATTTAACACTCACCACCATGTAAAGATGAAAAGTCTTCTCTGGATTGAAATCCTCCAGCTGGCATAAGATGGGAAACACTTTTTTCTTCCACACCTCAATAAGGATCATCTCATGGACCAGGATGTGTATCTGGAAAGGGAAAGGAATCACTCCCCTCTAAGCACTTTTTAGAAAATTGTAAAAGGGCCTGCGTAAAAGCTGACATTTTATTATTGTTTATATGCAGTTGTGGCAGTCACCTTTCCAAATGAAACCAGGAGGTCCTTGACAAACTCATCGTGCATGGCAGAGGCATTCAGTATTGCCTGCATGTTAAGTTTCTCAATATAATCATGCTGCTTGAACCATCTGCTAGCACACAAAGACAATAAAAAAGCATCACTTCTAAAGGTCGGAATCACCAGACAACCAATGACATGATATTGTCACAATACTCATAATATTACATTAGTGTTATTCAATAAGATAAAGTTATGTTTTGATGCTGAGACTGTCAACATACCAACACTGTCACCAAAATCTGCTCTATATGTTGACATAAGATGGAATCAGTCTGTAGACAGTCTGCGACTGAATGGGGTCAGGTTAGCAATTGAATGCAATCAGTTACAGCAGCTAAGTGTGTAAATCATCGAATATCACACCGAAATGGTGGGTATACTTATGGAGTGGCAGCAGGGAGTCCAATTTCTGTCCCCAGAGAGAAATTCAAACATGAGGAAGCTACCTCCAGATTTTATCAGGATGTAATGAGGAGCAAATCCAAAAGCAGGACACAGAATCTCTGTATGCAAAAGTAACTTTATTGACTCATAAAATGTGAACAAAGGGTGCTGCAAAAAACTGGCAGGAAACCCCAAAACTAAAGACATAGAGGGAAAACCAAGTCGTGAGATGGGAAACCAGGGAATCAAATGAAGACGGACAATCTGACCAAGACACAGGAGAAGAAAGAATAAACCAAAGCAGGAACAAAAACAAAGTAAAAATACAAGAATGCAAAAGCTAACACACAACAAAAATCCCAGTTAGCTCTAAAATAAGTCTGATTTAACTCTCAGTTCCTTTTAGTCAAGGCCCAGGGCCTTTATTATAATGAAGTATAACTTCTGATTTGAATATTCTTTACAGAGAATCTTATCTGTCTGGACCAGATCATCTCTCTCTTAAGTATTTAAAAGACAAATATTATCAGGCTCTCTGCTTCATTGCATTCAATTTCAAACAATGCTTGAGTAAAGTGCGTCAAATTACGCAAATTAGAGTGTCAGTTTTAGTTTGTGTAGATTTTAATCTATATTTCAAGAACTTGAAACATACACTGATTTCAAGGAGTCAAAACTAACAGTGTTCTTTGGCAGATGTTTCCTTTTTGACAACCAGTCAAAAACCAATAGATCACATAGACTAAAAGCTATTTTCAGGAGAAAAAAAAGAGCTAATCATGCAAGTGAAGACGGTAATAATGTGGGTTAATAACAAAATCTATCAGAGACATATTAGGTTTATGTGGTTGAACATTCACAGGATGCAGATGTACATATTTCTCAATATAAACATCACAAGACGACTACATGGCCAGAACCTCAGGGGATTCACCACAACATGCAAATGACTGATAAGCCTCAAAAAAGGACCAGATTTGTCATCACAAAAAAGGGAAAGAAACTAAAAGTAACCAACAGAAGTTGATGAACAAAGATCTGACAAAAAATCTCTATCTCTATCAAAATGACGCAAAGAGGAAGTGGAGAAAATAGAAACACGTCATGAGCTGTAGAGTCCTGAATGCATTTCTCTTTTATACTTGACCACACTGATAAGTTTCTTTATATGTGCAGATTTTGGGGAGACGCAGTCAACGTACACACATATTCACACAGCTAGACAGTGCTACGATGTCAGGCAGGAGCTGCATGTCCTCTGTTATGGTGCCATACACAGGCAGGCTGATAACCATGAAAAAGCCAAAAGAGGAAAAAGAAGGAAGTCAGACTGGGAAACTAAGGCAACTTTACTTGTGTCTGAAACGAAGCAGAAAACTAGGACAGAAGAGACATTCCTGTGTGTCTATTGAACCTGTAAAGGGTATTAATAATGTATTTTAATGTATTACATTAAATCCCAAAGTACAGTTAGGTCCATATATATTTGGATACTGACACAAGTTTTGTGTTTTTACTTGTTTACTGAAACATATTCCAATTACAGCTATATAATGGAGTTTCAGCCCCTTGAAACATGTGCCACCCTCTTTTTAAAGGGACCAAAACTAATTGGACAATTGACTCAAAGGCAATTTCATGGGCAGGTTTGGTCAATTCCCTCATTATGTCATTATCAATTAAGGAGATAAAGATTTAGAGTTGATTTGAGGTGTTGTGCTTGCATTTGGAAGATCACCTGCTCTCCATGCAGGTGAAACAAGTGATCCTTAAGCTGCAAAAACAGAGGGAAAAAAAAAACATCTGAGAAATTGTTACGAGTTTAGAAGTGGCAAAGTCTACAGTTAGGTCCTGAGAAAGAAATCAGAATCAGAATCAGAAAGGGGTTTATTGCCAAATGTTGAGCAGGTTTACAACATTAGGAAATTGCTGCGGTGCTTCAGTGCAGCACTAGTGAACTCAGCAACAAAAAAAGACCTGGCCATCCATAGAAAACGGCAGTCCTGGGTGATAGCAGAACACTTTCTATGGTGAAGAGAAAACGTTTCACAACAACCAAACAAGTGAACAACATTCTCCAGGAGGTAGGTGTATTAATATCCAAGTCTCCCGTAAGGAAAATATTGCATTAAAAGTAAAGCCGCTGCAGTAAAGGTCTGGCGGAGCATTAAAAAGGCGAAATCCCAGCATCGGGGGGTGTCCATGAGTTCAAGACTTCAGGCTGTCATTGCCAGCAAAGGGTTTTTCAATATTAGAAATTAACATTTTATTTTCAGTTATTTAATTTGACCAATTACTTTTGAGCCCTTGAAATGAAGGGATTAAAATGCTTTAGTTTCTAACATTTTTAGCCAATCTTTTTGTTCAACCCACTGAATTAAAGCTGTAAGTCACTTCAACTTCATCTGAGCTATTTAATTTAAAATTCATTGTGTTAATGTACAGAACCAAAATTAGAAAAAAAAGTGTCTCTGTCCAAATATTTATGGACCTAAGTGTAGCAGATGGTTTCTTGCACATTATAAAAAATTTTTTTTAGCTCTTGATGTTTTTATTACCCAAATAATTGGTATATATATTGATGTGTTTATTTCACAAAGGAATGATATATTTGGTTGAATTAAAGAGAAGAGGGGGGGGGGGGGGCGCTCTGGCGGCTGCACTTTCATATTCAATATGAATATCAGAAGGTCAGAGTTGTATTGTGATGGTTACTTCTCATTGACAAAAACTGATGGACAAAGGCATCACCAGAAATAAGTAAGTGTTTGAAATGTGAATTTCTTGGCTGAGGGCCCCCTCCAATGCTCAAACCTACAGTCTGCATGGGTTCGCGGCAAAAATGCAATCAGCGTTATTTAGTTATATATGATAGCAATATTATAACTACATCTGAATCTGACGTTTTGCTCAATTTCAGCTGTTTAATTTGCACCACTGAGTGCTTTGGGTTGATTTTTTATTTTATTTTATTTGTATAACAAAGCACATTAAGCTCCCTTATTTAGCATTTACAATCTGTACTGGCTAATGAGAAATAATCTAATATAGTCTCTATTTATTTATCACATTGTTTTTCTTTCTTTTTTCCCTTTTTTGTACGTTCCATCGTGTTTACAAGCTAATTTAACTCAGGTGCAGAGTTAGTTGGTTCGTCTCACCTCTCTGAGCCCACTTCCTTGAGGGAGAAAGTTTCCAGACTCTGGATAAAGCCTTCCGCTTCAACGGGAAGAATCACTGATGTATCCATTACGTTGAGAAAAGATATTACGCAATAAAGAAATAAATGACTTGTCTAACTGGAGCTTGAGTAGACTTGTTCGTACTGTTAACGGTTCGAAGTTAGCAACACGAAGTGTTTCCGGTAGTTGTCATGGTTACGGAAAACCAAGGGAATGGTGCAGGTTTTTTTTCTCGCCATAGAGGGGCAGCAGAACCTCAAACAAATACACAACATAATACAGTTGTACATTTCTGGCAAAACCTTAAAAAAAAAATCAGTTATGTCAATAAAAATAATCCAAGGTGAGTTGTTGTGAAATATGACATCATCAGCAAAGCGCCAGAAAACTTTTTTTTCCTTGTGCAGACATCATATTAATTAAACTAAGTAAATTATAACTAAAGCAACATAAACAAAATATTCCTAAAGAGGGTCCTAGTAATATCAAGATACTAGACCTGCAGAAGATAGTCTGCTCATAGGCTGAGGAGGATTTTATCCATTAAATGAACCATTACACTCTCACAATAGCCCAAGGTTCAATGTTCAAACTCAACCAGGATGGTAATAATAAAACTAAAATGAATGGATAACAAGAAAATGCTGAACACATAAACAAAAAAAGAATAAAAAGTAAAATACAAAACTATGATAACCAGCTTATTGTAAATTAACCTGATTACCAGCTTCACCCTGTTACAACTGGTTTCAAAGTTTTTAGAGTAGCTAGTTCCTTTTTAATGGATGTCTTCATCATACTCCAGTGATTTTCTTTTTGGTGACTCGAAGTTTCCCCTGTTGCTCATACTCCAGAGTATGCAGCAAAAGAGAGACAGCCTAACCTGCAGGTGACTCATGATGGTGACTTTCCTACGTTTTTCCTCACAGCCCTTGGATGAAGTTAGTCTTTACTAAAACGGTCTGTCCTTCAGGGCTGAATTTTATTCAATAAAATAAAAATGTGTAGCAGCTGCACCTGTCTACAATGTCCTCATGGCAAAAATCAATCAGACCATACTATTTGGATTAAATCATTCATGTTGTTGGTCAAAACAAATTATTTTACGTATAATGTACTCTAGTTCGTACATATCAGAAAGTTGTTAAATCACCAATTAGATAGACCCTGTTAGTACTGGTTTGGACCCACTTTTGGACTGTTGCAGCAGAAATTGAGATCAGACCAGGCAACATTTTTCCAGTCTTGTTGTCCAAAATTGGCGAGCCTGTGTGAATTGCAACTTCAGGTTCTTGTTCTTAGCTGATAGGAGTGGCACCCGATGCTTTGTTTTCTGCTGCTGTAGGCCATCTACTTTAAGATTTGGCATGTTGTGCTTTCATTAACGCTCCTCTGAATACCTTGGTTGTAACGACTGGTTATTTGAGTTACTGTAGCCCTCTTATCAGCTCAAAGCTGTCTGACCATTTTCTTCTTACCTCTGGGATTAGTAAAGGCCTTTATGCACAGAGAAGTACCGCTCACTGAATATTTTCTCTTTTTTTGGGCCATTCTCTGTAAACACTAGTGATGGTTGTGTAGGAAAATCCCAGTAAAACAACAGTTTCTGAAATACTCCGACCAGCAACAACCATAATACATTCAAAGTCACTTCTTCCCCATTCTGATGCTTGCTGTGAACTTTGTCAGGTCTACAAAAGTCTCAGTACAAGTCTGTATTGAGTTGCTGCCACGTGATTAGCTAATTAGACATTTGTGTTATCTTATTAGCAGCTGAACCGGTGTGCTTCTTAAGGTGAGTGTATATGGTAGTGAAAAAAGTACTTGCAATTCAAGTCATCCTTCTAAATAAAAGTACATGAAATTATTATTAAAAACGTATTAATGGCGGGTGTAATTTCAAAGCATTTTATTTCAAATATTTTCTTCACAGTGTGATAACATAAGACTGTACCTGCTTGTTCCAGGGCTTCACTCCCATGATGAATTTTACTGCCGCTAAGTTACATTAAAAAGTTTTTACTATTTTGTAAACAGTTATAAATAATATGTTTCATCACCTACTAATCTGAAGGTCAGACATATTTAAATATCCTTGGGTAAAAAAATGAACCCAAACTGCCCTTATCTGTGTGTGAATGGGTGGATGTGTCTTGCAGTAATAAATGCTTTCAGTGCTTCCGTTAGAGCAAAAATGCAGCATATAAATAAAGTACAAATTCAAATACATGCCAGTGTGTTTTTTTTTTACATTCCATTAAATTATAGCAACAGTTATATATACACACACACACACACACACACACACTAATAACATTGCATTAACTAACTGCAAAGGGATCTTCAACCCTCCAGGAATGACAAAAATCAGCTAAAGGATATGTGGCAGTGCAATCTGTTTTTATGTTGGAATGTTATTTGTGCAGTAGAAATTAGATGAATTTGGGGTTATAAGTAGAGTCAAAGCAATAAAGATAGTAAAATATGTATGAAGTATGAAACCCACGTAAATAGATATTTTTAGCTTTTTTTCCATTTAATGAATGGATTGTATAGCCACATAATGAGTGTGATATCCAATCTTTCAAGTTTTTTTTCTTTTTTGAACAAAACTAAGCTAAGAAAACTGCAAAACACTACTCATTATTTTCTCTGTTAATTGAAGAAACCTCCTTCTCTAGTTCAAGGCATCTTTGGCTGCTTAGGCACTGCTGTACCCTTCTGCCCCATCACTTCCAGCACACGACAATATTAGGATCGTTTTCCAAACGTTCATCAAGCTCCTGGTAAGTAATCCCTGTAAAATCAGGACATTGTAAGCACACTTGTTTCACACCATCAGTTCTTAAGTTTTGTCCAACAATCAAAGAAGGCTTCAAACCCTGCCTGTTTTGCAGCAGATCTCATCGTAACTATGACAACCGGTATAGAGTCGAGGAGGCCTGCTTCTCTCGTCGCGGATCACCTTCACGGGATACTTCTGCAGCCGTCGAATAAGACACTTCATTAGTCCAAACTGGATCAGCCTCCTTAGGAGAAACGAGTGACATGACACACATACAGTATGAGCCAGTGCCACTTTGACCTGAATTTTCAGGAGCGCTAAGTCTTTTCAGGAACTGATCATTTGAGCGACGCTAACCTCTCGTCGACCCTTTGAAGCTGCTGTGAGTAGCGTGAGCAAAGGTCTCGGACTGTTGTTCCCGGACTTAGCCCACAATACAGCTGGAACACATCTCTCAGACTCGCGCGTTTCTGACCTGAAAGTGACAGGGCAAAGCTGCACAGTTAACGTCACAAAATAAATAAAGATTAACACGTGTTTTAATGGTCATGACCCCAACTAACCCTGCTTAGTGACGTAGTTAAGGCACTCCTCCTGAATGGACTTGTCATCTATGAGGCTCTGGACTTTTGGGGTGGTGCAGTACACATTAGAGTACTAGAGAAAGACCCATGAAGGCAACCAGAACAAGTCATCAGGAAGTATTAGCCACTTTTTAATAGCTTGCTTTTTACAGCAGAATATCAGAAGACTAGAGACAATAATTTAATGTATTTGTTAAAAAAAAAGAGGAAAAGATTAAAATTAAAGTTTTAAATAAAAGGTCTTGCACAGTTAGCCTTCCCTCACTTAAAAAACCTGCCCTAATATTCTGTATTCAAAGTGGTGCATAGAGAGCAATGTGCAATATATAAATTGGCTTTCTTTTGAAATAAATGAACCCTTTTATCAGAATGGCCTTCAGAACCGATGCTTGCTTTACAGCTTTACAACCTGTACTGCTCCCCCCCCCAAAAAAAGTTTTTCTGCACAAGAAAATTCACTTTCACAAAAACAGAAAAAAAACAAAACATTTCCAGAACACAGAAGGAATTATATGAAAAAAAAAATTACAACTTCTCAATTAAAACTAACATCGGCCCTAATGGTCCCTGATAAACTGTTCCACTACACTCATATATGTGTGATGTGAAATTAGTTTAATACCTGGAAAATTGACACCAGAGTCACAACACCATAGTACCTGTGAAGTTAAAAAGAGAAGTAAATACATCTTTTTGAAGTGTATTTTGACTACAGAGTGAAAATGCAAGTACACCCCCCTCATTCGGTAGCTTGAAAAACCACCTTTAGCTGCAATAACTTCAGCTTATCGTTGTCTCTATGACTTTATCAGTCTCTCGCGTCATTGTGTTATAATGTTTCCATTCACTGAGGTTTGTGGGCATTTATTTATGCACAGCTCTCTGAAGGTCCCACAACAGCACTTCAATCAGGTTGAGGTTTGGACTTTGACTGGTGATTGCAACATCCTGACTCTTTTATTTTTCAGTCATTCTGTTGCAGATTTGCTGCTGTGCTTTGGATCATTGTCCTGTCAGATAACCCAGTTTTGGCCAAGCCTTACAGTAGCTTTGGGACCGATGGCCTCACATTTGACTTTGGAATATTTTGGGATACACAGGAGTTCATGGTTGACTCAATGACTGCAAGGTCACCGGGTTCTGTGGCTGCAAAGTTCAAAACATCACCCCTCTACCACTGTGCTTGACAGCTGGTGCGAGGTGTTTGTGCTGATATGCCGTGTTTGGGTTTTGTCAAACAGCGCTGTGCATTCTGGTTAAATGTCAACACTTTTGGTCTCATCTTTCCAAAGGACATTGTTTCAGAAGTCTTGTGGTTTGTTCAGATCCAACTTTGCAAACCTACACTGTGCCACCATGCTCCTTTTACAGTCCTTCCAAACAAGCCATACTTCTTCAGTCTTTTCTAATTGTGCTGCCATCAACTTTAACATGCTAACTGAGCTCTTGTCAGTGTGAGTGTGAGTGTGTGTGTGTGTGTGTGTGTTTGTGTTAAAGGTTTCGCTGAGTACTGTACGACCTGACCTTGAAGTGAATCTGCTGGGATGTTAACCTACAAGAAGTCCCGGGAATATTGTGGGATTGTGTTAGCTCCCACCTGAATGGTCCACAGCAAACTATTAAAACTTCTGCATTTACAGAGGCGTTCACACTTGGTTTATCAGTTAATCAAAACAACAACATAAAACAAAGTTGTGGGATGAAGCAGTACGTGTGTGAGGTTACTAAAGAGTACAACTGTATTTACTGAAAAATACTTACAGGAGATTCTGCACTGCAATACGAACAAGATTCAGCTCAACGTCTGCTTCAGCAGAAATTTTCTGGATGTGTCTAAATCCATCGATGTAGGGAAGAATCTGCAGTTAGCAGCAAATAGATAAGGGTTAGAGGCACGTAGTGCTTTTTGCATTACTGTGTAACTAAATGCTGTAAACATGTTAACTCATAAAAGCAATAAAACAGTATTGTACCAATAAAGGGCATCTTGTCTTGCACTAATGCCTTCTTTCAAATCATAAAACAAAGGATATAAAAACGTGCTTATATCACTTCCAGCACAGCTGATAACAAGTGTTTAAACACTGATCTTTCTTCCAAGCACTTCTTAGAGTGCTATCAAATACCTCTCAAGAGCTGCAGCCAGAGGTTGTTGACATTGAAAGCCTACCTGTTGAGTGGTGAGATCCCACTGAGACTTGATAAAATGGTCTTTGCACTGGGTAAAGACTGGCACGTCGTACTCCTGAACTATTGGGGGGTCTTTTCGCAGCTGAATCAGCTTTAGATGAATGGTGTTAGACTCATCTTAAAAAGGATACAACAAACAAGAGTAAGAGCAGTTTAAAAAAAACAAAAAAACAAAACACTGTTGCTGCCAACCAACATGTGAATACTGCCTATGTGTAGCTGGTAAATTCTTAAAAAAAAAAATTGACTCAGAAACATCAGCCTGCATTTCCCATTTCTGAATTTCTAAAAAGAGTAACAGTCAGAGCAAAGCCGCTTGCATAGTGGCACTGCTTTGTCTTGACTTTACCTAATCAATCCAAACAACCACATAATTTCACTTTGGGCCATAGCCCAGCCAGCATGTTGGTTGGCTGATATGGGCTTATCAGAGATATTGGAAAACCTGTTGTTAGCGAACATAATGCATAACAAAGCTCTCCTCAGTGAAGAGTGTGCTCTCCTACTGCCTGGATGTCTGCCACGCAGGGGCAACTACTAAAACCAGGAAGGCTGTGCAGAGGGTAATTAATACTGCCCCAAACATAACTGGCTGCTCTCTGCCACTCCTGGAGATCCTCTTTCCTCAGGAAATCCAGGGCCATCACAGGTGACCCCTCGTGTCCCGCCATCCCTGTTTGACCCGTTGCCCTCTGGTCGAAACCTCCAGTAAATCAGGCCCCAAGCCTCCAGACAAACAGTTTCTTCCCCTGGGTCATTCGGAGTGTTGACAAACACTACCCCACCCCTACCCTCCCACCCACCAACCAACCAATCTAAGTCATGGCCTGAGTAACCCTCATCAGCTTTTATCTTGCCCTGTATATATTTCTCCTGCTTGTTATTTATTCCTGCTGTCTTACTATTTATATTCTATTCCGGCACAGTTGGTGTGGAGGACCCACAATTTAGTTGTACGTGTGCAATGAACATAACGGGCCATTCTATTCTATTCTATTCTATTCTATTCTAGATGCTTGAGTTCATTTAGAAATGCTGTAATCACATGATTTGTCTAGTAGAGCAGCTGCAGCTCTATAGTTTATGATACTTTCAGTATGATCTGCAGCACAGTAACAGAGAACATGTCACATTATTACTGAGTACATGGATCATTACAATTTTGGGCTTTTAAAGATTTCTCTGAGCTTTTCTTTTTCTAGGGTGGAATGAACATACAGCATGCATCCGTAATGTACTTTAAAAATGCATGTTGTATTTACTCTAGTTATTGTCTAATATTAATATGTATTTGATGGAGTACCAAAAGGTTGATTCTGTTCATCTGGATGTAGCCTTTTCAATGGGAGAAACGTTTCCTCACTCATCTAAGTGACTTCTTCAGTCTCAGCTGACTGCAGGTTTCTCCAACCTTATAAACAGTACATTTGCACAATAACTGAAACCAGCCCACTGAATGAACAATGGGCTGTGAGGTCAGTTCCTTGATCATTAATATGCAAATTGTCATGACCATTGATCAACAACCACTGATAAATGCCCATTGATCAAAGACCTGCGGTCAGCTGAGACTGAGGCAATCACTTGGATGAGTGACGAAACATTTCTTCCAGTGAAAACGCTACATCCAGATGAGCAGAATCAACCTTTTGGGATTTACTGACCTGGATGATTGAGCATGCATCAAGACATATTTGATGGAGTAATTAACTTTACCCAGATAACAGCTTTAAGTCTCTGCAGTGTCTGTATGTACTGATTTATAATTACACAACATCATATTTACGTTAACCTAGCTATAAAAGTAGACGGTAGGAGGACGAAGAACATTTGAACTTTGGACCTCCACAGCCTAAAACCCACAGACTGTACAGGATTCAGTTGTAAACGCTGTGTACATTTTGTATTTACTCCGGTCTTTAGTCTTTGTCTACAGTTAAAATTGATTTGATGATCTAAAACATGTAAATGTGACAAATCAGGAAGGGAGCAATTACTTTTTTACAGTACTGCAGCTCAGTCTTTGTCTCATCTGTCCATAAAACCTTTCTCCAGAAAGCATTTGGCTTATCTGTGTGGGCAGCTGTCAACTATGGAGTATGGGCTTCTTTCTTAGTTGGCACCTGTTTATGGCTGCTTTGAGCCTTGGTGGTTCCTGTTCTGTTCCTGAAAATCCTAACCAATTTCCTCTTATGTGATGGTGACAATCTTCCAGACTTCAGCAGTGTTGACACATCAGAATACATTGTACTTACATGTAGTTGTTTAAACAGATTATCTTGGAATCTGCAGTCAAACTTGCGGAAGGGAAATCTATAATTTCCCTTCCTACACCCATTGTTCTGAGTATTGGCAATCTAATGGGTGATGTCAAACAAGCATTTTTATGCTGGAAAAGAGAACGTACCAGAAAAATCATGTAAATCAAGATCACTAACAAGAAGTTAGTCTCGGAGAGTTAAAAGACATTGTAGAAACTCCAGCACCACTTATTAAAAGATTTAAGTGAGTGTGTATATTTAAGTTATGTATATACTTCTGGCCCTGTGTGGATTAGAGAACATCCAAAATAAGTTCTAACTTGTGTGCCAAATTCTTGTCTTTTTAAGTCATTAAAGATTTAAAATAATTCCACCCTGGAAAAAAGAACAGTTCAATGAAACAGTACAAAATTACCATGACATTCATGCCCATGATGAATGTGTGTAAACGTCTGACCACAGCTATATATTAAAAAGATATATTGCTCCTTGCCACAGATAAAACTTATAGCCAGTAAGATGCCAAATAATACCAATGGGTAGGGTGCAGGCTCCCGTGGCATTAAGATCCTCTAACAAAGTTGACATAATGGGTAAAAGCTTCTGTTTGCTCTCCTCTTTGGATATAAAGCCGCTCTCCAGCTGCAACACAACAAGACAGAAAATCTCTAAGAAATCATCCCGAAGAAAGCGATCACGTGAACATGTGAGAATGTGATACTCTTTACCTCCAGAGTTGTAAGGTATCCAGATAGCTTCTTAACAATAGGCTCGAGGCTGCAAGTATTGGTTCGGGCATCGCAAACAAGGCCGAGGTTAAACAGGAGGGCATTTCGGCTATATTTCTTATGTTCGATGCACACTGGGCAGCCAATTAACTTTTTTCCCATTGCAGTGCTAAGATAAAAAAAAAAATTAAAAAAAAGAGAGATTGGTTGATTAAAGACTTCAAACAAGGCAGGGAGACAGACGAGCAGAATAAGACTACATACACTGTTATTAATTTGTTTTGTAGCTCTGGCTTGGTGATAATATAAACCTGAACGGTGTCAAAGAGCTCCCGTGAGATGTACTCTTCTGGAACCTGTTAGGAGAGGACACAGTATGACAAACTATGCCCAATACGATACATGAGCTCAGAAGGATTATGCAGAGTACATGTCAATGCCAAATGACTATGAAGGATTAAAAACCTGCCTCGCACGTTTAAAACACACTCAGTCATGAACAAGCTCGCAATTGGGGCATTTATAAAGATAATCATAACGACAGTAGCTATAAAATAAATAACATAACATAAAACTACTTTACCAGACCATCTGCACACTTACCTGATATGTTATCTTGGGACCCAGAGTAGGATGAAATTCGCTGAAAAATATACACTCTATCCGAGTGGGCATGCCCATCATAGATTTTATCCTCATGGAGAACTAATCCAGAGGTGTTTAAACCCTGCTGAGTCCTATTAACTTGCCCCAAATTGCGTTAACAAGGTATCTGCTGTGTGTCTACTGTGGATCTTCCCAGTTTATTTACAGCAGCATGAGCTAGCATATAGCTTTAACGTTTTAAGACAACTTAGCGACGTCCTTAGGTACTTCAACGCAGGTCTAAAGTTAAAAGACGCCCTATAAAATCTGTTATTAATGTATTAAGCAGAGGTTATGGTCACCCAGGCATCAAACTATTCAATAACTCGACACATCAACGCATGCAAAAACCAGACAGGGAAGAACAACAATAATATCGCCTTCAGGGACACCCAGTAACTTAGCTTTGGAAGAAAAATTGACATCGCAAAAACTGTAAAGGCAACAATAAGACAGAGGAAGTCGTGGCGTATGTAGCACCAATAATGTTTTAAAATTAATATAAAAGTAACACGAACTCTGTTGTCGTATAAAAACGCTTTAAAGTATTGGGCCCTGAACAATTGCACAACACTAAGGAAAATTTCCCTTTTAGACAATTTAAAGGTTTCGAATAATAGTATTTACCAAATGTAATATTACTTTTATTACCTGCTAATGACTTTTACATTTATAGATGCTATTTTACCATCTTACTTTACAGACTTAACGTATGTGACGGTGTAGCTTTATATGTTTTACAGTCCGTGAAGGCAACGTCGTTCAGTGGTGTCAGCGCTGCGCAGACTGCGCCGCAGTCGCTCTCTGTGCCGCGTGTGTAGGACACAGTACGAGCCCTGCCAGTTAGCTTGTTGTTCCGACACAGAAAAATGTTTGAATTTCATACAGGACCGTAAAGTGTAGCATGCTGATCTAACAGACTACTGCCGCCATACAGCGAGTTCAGCCCGAGAGCGCACAGACTCTGGAAACCCAATGAATAACGATGTAAAGACTTAATACTGTTAACCATGTGGAGAAGGTCGCTGAGTACAAGCTACTACAGATGTTTTGGGTGCAGGAGTTGTGGACCAAAGGTAACTGGTCAAGTTATTTTTTTTATTTATTTTTTTTCCGGGAAGTCGACACGTTGCGTCCAAAGTGTTGAACAAACAAAAACATGACAGTGTCACGGCTTTAAAAACCAACCAACAGTCCAAACCTGTTCCTGTTGCCTTCCTAACTGGAAATATTACTCACATTACAAACTGGCGCACCTGTAAGCACAGACCAGGTCAAATGAGTTTCTTGATCTGTTTATCAGTTGATTTCCATTGACGCAACTGGACCAAATCTGTTTTCTGTTATCTTCTTTTTAACAAAATAAAGTGGCAGGCACACACAGAGGCAGCAGAGCTCAGACTGAGTCAAGCCTTCAGGAAAACATTCCTGCAGTTCTCGATAAAGCTTTACAAAAGCTCTCCTGCTTGTTGACAGGCGAACACACCTGTCCGTATTCCTCAGACTTATCAGTATCAAACCTTCCTGCTGCTTGCTGTCTGTTGGATTTGAAATTGTACTTGTTATTTATTGAAGCCGTTTGCACTATTATATGCTAGTATAATTTTTTTTTTGCACAATCCCAGCCTTATTTTGTATTTATTTGTCTTTCTTTTGCTTCATTTTTTAAAATCGCTATTGCATATAAAATTTTGCACTACTTCACAGTATAAGGCCTTTATTATGGGCCCGTGGTACTTTCAAGCAATTTTATTGTAGGTTATAGTTCTTTATGCTGCTACTATCACATAGTAATTTCCCCTTTAGGATCAGTAAAGTGATGATCAGTAAAGTATCTATCGATCTATCATGGCACATAACTTATACCTGTACTAAATAAATACTATATAAGCTTGAATAACTCAAATAAATAAATAAAAGGATTATTGTCCATACACATACAGTAACTAATAATAACACTTCTCTCTTACTGGATTACATTAAACTAATGTAAGTTAACTTGACTTACAGATTCCCTCTTAACCCCTTGGTTATAGGGAGGAAGTGAAAATTATTTATGACTTGTCAGTTAGACACGTGTTATGAGTAATCGTGAGTGGTGTCTGAGGTTTGATCTAAAATAAATCGTGATGATTTCCAAAGTTGCTGGAAATTCCCCTGAGGAAATGCTTAATGGGAGTCTAACGTCAGTGTTAAAAAAACTGCAGTTGATTTCTGGATACTTGGAAATTTTATTTGAACTTAAATGCGACAGGTGCCAGTTTGGCTCCCTGGTTGAGCTGGTGAACATGTGCCATATGGTTCAGAACTCAGCAGCCTGGGTTTGAGTTCAACCCTCAG